ACGCGAACGCTTTTATTCATTTTTCATCCTTCTAGCTATTTTTTCACTTAACTTAGACTTTATATGTGGTGGAAAATATCCTCCTTTATCTGGCATCCTGGAGTTTATGAACTATATTCAGCGTAGGCTGCGTGATAATTGGAACTAAAATCTTTATCTAAGTAATCTTTTATGATTCGAAAAAAAACAACTGCATTTTATTTAGCAGTCAAGCCCTATTATGCCCTTATCCCTGGGGCATCGTTAATCAAATACGAAATATTCTATACAGTAAATAAAATTGAAAAAAAAAATTAGCAGGCAAGCTGGTTACATTCGTCCCTTTTTCAGCATCTATCATGTAATACATAATAAATTTCAGAAATAAGCGTGGGAGTTACATATTTTTTGCTAATTTTTCACTTCCTGTTGGTTCAGTAATATCCGGACTTAGAATTCAGATCGGCTCATCATTCAGAATTTATATGAAAGGCTCCGCCCAGAGGGTGGATATGGGTGGCTGATGACAGTATTTAAATCACAAATGACCTATCAGTACCTTTTGATATTCATTTTGCATCACTGTCGGCTGACTGCTATTTTACTGCCTACGAAAACTGTGTTCTGGGTCAAAGGTAGAAAGGATCAGGCATGTTTTGTACCTGAAACAGTAAACCTCCAGTTCATTTAACTGTTAATGTTTCTTTCCAATTCAGCTGCATAATAACCATCAAATTTCGATTCAATTTTCGGTAATTTTTTGCCCAGAACTGAGGTCTGACTGGCTTACTATGACCGATAACTCCAAAATGACCAGTCCAGCCGCTCCCGCCGTTGGCGGTTTTTTCCTTACTTAGATCTGTTCATCGTTTTTTGGAGGATCAAATAATCTTTTCAGCGGATGCCCGGTTATAACTTCTACAGCATTCCATATTGCTGTGGTTTGTTAACGACATTCCATATTCAGAGCATTAATTTAAAACCTGTTCTGATGTCGCGTCATAAGAATTCGCGTGATTTCGTCCACTGTTATGCCAGGCTAAACGTGCTTAGCTGAGTGTGCCATTAATAAGAAAGGGGAATGAAAAAACAGGTCTCTTAATATTGATAAGGCGAAAATTTGTCAAGTTATAAGAAATGAGTTTCTGCTTGGAATCAAACCGCAAGGTCATATTTGGTTTTAGATTCTTGCTATATATAGTTTGAATTTAAAGCAAACTTCACCGATATGAATTAGACGTAGAAAGCAGAATTTGTTGAAAAGAAACCAAAATTAGTGGCAGCTTATCAACTGCAACCCCTCGCGACAAAATATCGATAACAAGCACACGTAAGTTAAATTTGCACAGAAAATGCATGCATAACAGAAAGAATAGTGTCCAGTACACAGATAGTGCTGAATGAAATGGAAGGCAAGCATCCCAAGAAATGTAATTTCGAGGAAAGGCATCCTTTGGGAAAATTAAGAAATGTATTCAGTAAATTTTTGACACTGGATCCCCAGGTCGTCGTCAGACTTGAGAAATATGTGCAAAGAACAGTTAACCTTTCAAAGTGCTGGTACAGTTATATAATCATTTAGTGTGGACGCTAATTGGTGGTTGCAATTTGCGTCAAATCGTGGTGGACACATCGTTGTTGCACATTTTTCTCAAGTCTGACGACGACCTGGGGATCCAGTGTCAAAAATTTACTGAATAAAATTCCCAATTTTCTCAAAGGACGCCTTTCTTTGAAAGTGCTGAATGAAAATGTTAGCTCTAAACCAAAATATATGAAAGGAGAAGGGAAAACCTGACATGCGAAAGGGGATATGAGTAAGTCTAAAGCCTAGGAATCACCAGGGTAATAAAGGCTGACCATGTAGGCCAGCTTTCTTTGATAGATCGCATCCCTCCCACCATATTAAGTCTGCTTCCATGTAGCCCAAGGTCCGAGTTGATTGTGTCTGAAAAAATAGTTGGAAGCCTGTTTCGGGGTCAGAAGATTGACCGCTATCTTGGAGAGATCTCATGATAGATCAGCAAAGACTTTTATTTTCCTATTTTAAAGGCAAGTTAGGTCAATTCTCAACTGACCTAGCTTCATACTGCTTTTGTGTTCGCACATCTGAAAGTACTTGTGGATACATAAACACACTTTGGTGTGATATGCAATGCCAAGGCATTTTTCGTCAATTTTATGAAAATAGTTTTAGTAGGACTAACAAAGTTAAGATCGGCTGAGTTGTACGTCACTTCAATGGTGCTTTGCAAACTTTTCATCCATAAAGTGTGAGATAGCCTGCTAGCTTTTTCTAAACTAACAGTTCTGTCAAGTGTAGCAGTTTGCTGTGCCTTTAAATGAAGCATGCCGAATAGCCACGTTTAACAAAGACTGCTTTGCGGCAGCCAATTTCGACATCTAGGATCTCATTATAGGAAATTTTTCACACACTTTCAAGTAGGGTTTGCTCCAGGTTTCATTTCCGTTGCATTGGCACAAAGTCCACGAAATGCAAGTACTGCCCTTTCCATATATTCTTGTGGAAAACTAATCACTTAATTGAACTTCTTTTTGTCTAAATACGAAGAAGTTCAGGAAGGATAGCTCGTTGCACTGTTCCTTTTCCATTGTGAATTTAATCGTCACACCTAACTTGCTCACAGCATGAAGTAGTTACTCGACTTCCTTGTCGTTATGAACAGCAATGAATATACTTTCGACCAAATAAGATAACCCTTACCACAGAATTCTGTTTTACGGGGCCAGTGGTGTTAGTTACTTTAGTTTTTAGTTAATTATTTGATTTCTTGATTTAATATTAGTTTAAGTTTAGTTTAGTTAGTTTTTTGAAGTTGAGCTGAGTTTATTTTGGTATATTGTAGTTATTTAAGTATATTTACTTCAGGTTGGCGGTATCTAACTAAATTAAAAATAAACGTAAATTAAATAAGTCAACTAAATAGTAAACTGAAATTAAAGTAAAACTAAAAGTAAGCAGAGGACTAGGGGCAAGGGGTATATGAGGTAGTAGACCAACTTTACTGTTACCAGGTTGCCTATTGTCATTCAGTCTGCCGTTACTGAAAATATGTGCGCGCACCTAAAACCACACTTAAAGCGTCAGGCAGATCAGTGGAACGGACTGCTTTCTTATAATTTATTAAAGAGGTCCCTTTGACTTTTGGGTCACTGATTTCTTTGCCACCGGAATTTCCGCACCTCCGTTGTCGGGGGAGGGGGGTAGGCAGATGGCTTACAGCTTGTTTGTAGCGCTTTCCATCTGCTGAGCTGGCTCGTCCCCAATCGGCTGTTTATGCGGTGTTGTGGCCTTGGATCTGGCGGCACAGGAGTTGGGCGACCACCCGCGTGGAAGCCGAAAGAACCTGTTACCAGTTATGCAGCGACTTGAAGGTTTTTTAGTCGTACAAGCAAAGTAGACGATGTTATCGTAGCATCTTTTGTTTCCGGAATAACCTGTCGCAAGCCACGCCCCATATCCACCGTACCGATGGGAACACTGTAAACAGAGAATTCCTCACTTTCATGATGGTTAACATTATCGAATTGTGTAGCTTTATTAAACTGCTAAGAGAGAGAGAGAGAGAGAGAGAGAGAAATACGCTTTATTTGAATGATAGCATCCAAAATGTTCAACAAAAAGTGACTTCGTTCACTGAGACCATGTGATAGATTAACAGAATACTCATCAATCTACAGGTTCACATAAAAACACATCTGCTATGAAGACAGGTCCAATCTCGGCTTCTCGGTTTCCGTTTCTTTACACGTAAAATAGCGCGCTAGGGATGGCAGTACAGAATGCTGATATTCCCGTTTACGGCAGGACATTTTTCAAAAGCCTCGGCGCATATTACGGAAAGACGTCATAGCTGTTAATTCGGAATGGAGAGGATGGACAACCTTCTCAAGAATTCGATCGATGAATTGCTTGGTAGTTGTCAAATGTTGCTGTAATATATTATCAGCTAAAAATGCATAAGAAACACCGGCATCGGAGGATGCATTTAAAAATCAAAAAGCCTCTTTTAAGCACAGCGGAAAACAATGCCAGAGAGTAGTGGAGAATGAGGGGGAGAATGCAGACATCTATCAATTAGGGTAGATAGCCGCTCACTGATCGCTCACGGGACTCACTCGTTCCGTTGTGCCTTGGAGCAAGCTATCAAGCCCAAGCATCAGCCGTCCAATGACTGCATCCATAAATCGCCATATTAGGGCTTTAGTTATGTGGTAGGAACGTAACTGGCTGATTTAATATAGGAGTTTACGAATCTTGAAGAAGACGGTTTCAATATGAAAGGAAAGTGAAAGATTAGATGTCAGAGTAACACCAAGGTACCGAAAAGAGGATACCTCATTTGACAGGATGCCTAAGGATTCAGAACTGCAAGCGGGTCGCAGTCGGAAAACGCACTAGTCTGACTTCTGATTATTCAGTAGAAGACCGTTGCTAACGAACACGCTGAGACATGATCCAGGTCATCTTTCAAAACCTGGAGATGCGTCTGACTTTTGAGACGATGGCCAACAATCATACCATCAGCATATTTTACATACAAACATCAATTTGGCAATCATTAGTCATCAGTGTGGAAGGAAACGATGTGAGGGGATAAAATAGGCCCACTACAGAACTCCGCAGTTGTTAGGAAAGATCTTTGCTTTTTGCTTGCCGCATTGGACGAAGTGGGTGTGGCAAGGGAAATATACCCAAGGCCAAGAGACAGCCCAGTCGGGAG